AAAAACCGAAACTAAAATCAAAACCGATGGTGCGGTTTTTAGTTTTGCAAAAACCAAAAATACTCAGTGCGGTGCGGTTTCTAGTCTTGCAAAAACCGCAAAAAACCGAACCGCACCGCAAAAAAACCTCACCGAGTTCACGACAATCTTCATCGGACTCGCCGAGTCGACTATGCCACTCCGAGTCCCTTTAGTCCTTCATCCATACATATGCTTTTTAAGCCATGAAAATGCTCCATATTGTAGATCCAACTTCCTAAGGCATGCTTATCACGTAAAGTTGCAAACTTTACGTGCATGTAAAGCTATAAAGCCTCAAAATGACAAAACTAAGCTTGCAAAGAAGTCTTGCACTTGAGGGAAGGCTCATACTTGCCAAAATTGATGACTTTATGGATCTAGAGGCCAAAGGGAGTCTAGATCTGAAGTTGCAACTTCAGAACTTGACTCAAGCACAAGAAACTTTTCCTAAAACTCACCCAAAAGATATTAAAGATGAAATGAGCCAAGGAGACAGCCGAATACCTTCAAGAGAGTGCCAACTGGAGTAGATCTTTGCTTCCCATGAGTTCCTAGCTTGAATTTACTTGTTTCCCCCAAGAGTTTCCTCACCAAGATCCCTCTTCCAAGCTTTATCACACCAAAGAAACACACACGATTTAGGGTTTAAGGGTGCCAAGGAGCTATAAAGGGGAGGCTGGGAGAGGCCAATGATCCTTTAAATAGGGTGCAATACCCCGAAATTTAGGGTTTCATCAGTCAACTCCTACTCGTCGAGTCCCTTCTTGGACTCGGCGAGTAGATCACTAAAACACGTGGACCAATCCGCTGCTACTCGACAAGTAGGGCAACCAACTCGTCGAGTAGACCTTGAAATCGAGAAATTTTTTATATAAATCAATACATGAGAATCGGAGCATTATAATCATAAATCAACATGTTACAATAGCTATAACACTCGTAATTTGGGGCTAAAAGTTTTTACACTTAAGTGGAATTATATATCAAGTAAACTAAAAATTGAACTAACTTAAATTAATGGATTTAGAATTTTAAAATTTGTTTATTTAAAATAATTAAATACAAACTTAATTAATTAGTTACATGGTAAGTTAGGTCAAAATATTTATGATTAAGAATTGAAAATTAATATTTGAAATCCACTTAATTAGAAACTTCACTTATTTATAGGAAAATTTATGATTTAAAGTTGAATCAGATAATGAGAAATTAAAAATATTAGGAGGTCTTCTTGTACTTAAATAAAAAACTAGACTATTAACGGACCATTTTTGTCAAGTTTAGTACTTTGGTATGTATTGGAATTAACTTAATAAATTAGATTCGGACCTAAAAATATCAATATTTTTTTTTTTTGAACAATAAACTAATCTACTCCTAAATTATCACATACATATTCAACGAGACTTGAACCCATGACCTGTCAATTAAGAAACTTACTCCTTACCACTAGGCCAAATGTCATGTCGTAAAAATGTAATATACTAACTTTCTAGATTTGATGTGGAAGTATTAAAATTTTCTGGTTAACGTGGAGTTAGTCAAGGAAAAAATGAGAAGCTTAAACGTATATGGACCAAATTAGGAGCAAATTTGTAGATCTAGTGACGTTCTACAACTAACTCTTTAAGTAAAAGCTCTAAAGGCAACCTTATTCTTCATTTTTGTCTTGTTGGGTTAATAACTATTTCAAAATATGTATTCTATGATAAAATGCATTATTAGATCAAGTTATGCGTTGAATTCTAAGTTTATAACACCAATACAATAATGTAAATTCTTCTTACTGGCTAAACTTGAGTTATAAATTTTTAATCATGGATTTGAAACCCTAGCTTCATGAAATTCGTCTACAAATCCATTAGAATTCGATTTTATACGTATGGATTAAGATTATTATTGTGCAACAAATGTTATTTAAATGGTTTTAAATACAAATCATTGCGTTGAACCCATCTATAGGATTGAAAGGATTGAAAGTGAGTTTTTGGTGTTTTAATAAAGTTTGAAGCTTTATTTTGACAAAACATGCATGGATTCACTAAATTTAGAACTTAAGAATGCTAATAATGTTATAATATATTAGGAATTTACTTGCATCACCCTTGATGAAAATCATGGATGAAAACCTAATCGAGTGATCATATTTGAATTTTAAAGCCTTAAAATAGAGATTTTGTTGATAATCAACTTGATCCATGATTTGATCAAGTTAATAATGATTTAGAAATGTTATAACTTGATTGAATAGTGTTTTAAACCTAGTACATGTATTAGAACTTATTTTTGTTAAAATTTTAGAACCAAATTTAACACACGCTACAAAGTGGTGTCTTTAATTTTGTTCGACTATGTAATGCATTGTAGAAGGCTTTGCATTGCATTGAAATGAGGTTGAAGTTGCAAAAAAATATGTTAGCAGTTGTAGAGTTACAAGCCCCTTCAAACCTAAATTTGGATAATTAGTTTAATGGTTTAATTTAGGTCGAATACTTATGGTTATTAGGTTGATTATGCATGCGCAAGTGCTCTATAATCATTCAACACTTTGTAGAGCTTGTTAGAAGATGACCTTCACACATAAGGTGATTATTACCCAAAAATACATGTAACTATTATACTTTGTTTAATTAAATCATCTTTTACTTGACTATCATTTGTTGTTACTATATGAATACTATATGTATATTTGTTCAATTATGAAATGGATTTTTCATAACGAGCTTTTGAAAAAGAGGATTTACTTATTGTTTTGGAAAGTGATTTTGACATGAATATGTATATTCACTTAGGATGGTTGATGACTTGTGCGACCACTTATAACTTGAGTACTCTAATTGTTGATATTCCCTTTATGGATTTTTCCACAAATGGAGTCGCATTGAGAAATTCCCTTCTATGGATTTTCTACTAATGTAGCTAGGGGTGTCTATTATGACACGACACGATAAAAATACACGTCACGAAACGAAATCGGGACGAAATCAAAATTCGAATTCGTTTTCGTGTCGTGTTCGTGTCAAGTTTAAAAAACACGATGTCGTGTTCGTGTTTACAAATCCACACGAAATTAACACGATTGAGCATGTATTTGTCGTGTTTTCGTGTTTGTCATTTTTATCGTGTTATATATGATTAAATATGAATTAAATAAAATAATAGTTATGTAATATTATCTTTGTCGTGTCGTGTCATGTTGTCGTTTTTTAATTGGTTCGTTTTCGTGTTAGTGAAAAAAAAAACACAACATCGTGTCGTGTCGTGTTCGTGTTACAAAAAACCTTGTCGTGTCGTGTCGTGTCAGACAAAAACACGACACGACGGCCTGATTTGACAGGCCTAGATGTAGCCACATTTAGATATTCCTTTTATTGGGTTTGAACTTGAAGCTAGATACCTATTGTATGAATAAAGTGTAATGGACAGATGTCCATAGTTTTAGAGTCCATGTGTGTTACCATGCTTTGTGCTACTTTTACATGGACTATTTCCCCATTTAGGGATGTCTGATATGATTAAGATCTTTAGACTTTAAAGGACTTGGGTTTTGGGAGTAGACGTATATTTATTGTATTCTTTTGAAATTGTTGATATATTATGAGTTTGATGTTGATTAGCAATGCTTATCTTTGAAACGTCTTTTCCCTACTATTGAACTTGGACAAATGTTATGATGTTTAAAAACCCTTAAGGGTTGAATTTAGGTTAAAGTGATGACCTTATCTAATATTTTTATGAGTAGGAGTACATACTAGGCTTTTGAAGCCTAACTTACATATTTTGACATGTATTTAGGATGAAATACTATGTTGAAGATCGATGAAAAAATTTAGCACTTGTATATTTAGAAGATGTTTTTAATTTGTCTTTAAAATGAATGTATGGATGTTTACTTTAAACCGTTGTCTCTCCATGAACTTGCTACACTCTCTTGTATGTAGTATGCCTTATACTTTAAACATTACTAAATGTTAAGGATTTGGTACCATTGGAACCTTTATCCGCAAAATGTTTTCTTTAAATGAGTTTGTTTTACTTCAAGCTTCAAATACACTTCTTTATCATTTTCAATGCCTTCAACTTCTTATGCATATATGTCATGATATCATTATAACGTTTATTTGGAAGTTCAAGGTCTAACTAATGGAACTAGTTACATTTTTTTCTTGGCTCTTGCACATTTCATAATAATTTTTTTAGAAAAATAAAATAAAATAGTCAACATCCTTATCATTACTCACCATCCAATCATGACAACTCTTAAACCTTGGACAGGCGTTATCCTTACTTCAACTAATTGCAACTCTTGATTCTTTCATAAATTTACATATTACATCTATATGAAGAGTTGCATTCATATTAGACTTCAGTATTATAGCACATTCGGTCTAAAACGGATAAAATTATGATAACTATTCGATAAGAGTAATGATGAAAAAAAAAAAAAAAAGACGAGTTTAAGAACTCACCGGTCAAAAAAAAGTGATAAGCTCATTTGACTCCATCAATATCAAGATGTAATAACACCCAACACAAAAAATGTTATATAGTAGTAAAAGGATAATAGCCTACAAAAATCACAAAAAGAAATAAAAAAAAAAAAAAAAAAGTTTAGATACCCTTTATAGACAATATATATATATATATATATATATATATATATATATATATATATATATATATATATATATATATATATATATATATATATACTACCAAACTATTTTTGAAACAATAATTGTTTATATTTTTTAAAATTTCCCACCAATAATTACCTAAGTATAATGACAAAAACTTATCATTAGTAATCGATAAAGATAAATCTGATAAAATTAAATTTTGGCCATTTTTTTATTAAAATTTGGTTAAAGATATTTTTTTCATAAATGAAACATACCCTACTTGGAATTAATTTATGGGATTAATTTTTCATAAATCGAATAAAGTCAAATAAATTTAAAATATTTGGAGGGTGAAGATGGTCGACTCTTGAGGATTATACCCCCTCCAATAAAATATTACAAATTATGCAAAAATTTGGTATACTTTCCATGAAAGGAATACAAAAAAGCTTCACCTAAAACTCGCTTGTAATTTGTAACCCCCACCATAATCAATTAATCATCCCTCTCACACACACACACATCTCTCTAATCCCAAATTTCTTCGTAATCCTAATTTGTTACAAAATTGCGATTCTCCAAGATGATGGAGAAAGGTCTTCAGTAGGCGGATTACGTTTGCGTGTGGTTTGTTCTACTGTAGAGCAAATTTGACGTTGAATTCAACAATGTCGGTGAGGCATGGAGGATCCAAACCGTAGAATCGAGCTTGAAATGTGCCAATTCGCCTTGTTCGACTACTTTGTCTTCTAAACTTATTCTCCGAATTCCAGAAGCTTCAGTTAATAAATAATCCGAGCTCTCCGAATTCCTCAGCTACAAAAGTAGAAATTAGCAAGAATACCTTTTCTCCAAGAGTTCGACAATGGATTCTGAGAGATTGAAAGAGAATGTTACAGTTACAGTCCGATTCCGGCCTCTCAGGTAATCAAATTGTGTCAAAGTTTTAGGAATAATATCCGCGTGTTTATATACATATATTGATATCGATATTCACATGTATACTTATATGCATGTATATATACAGATTTGTACTGTGTATAAAGTATCTGTATCACTTTTGGTTAACTTGTATACAAATTAATTGATTTTGTGTGGAGTAGTCCGAGGGAAATACGACAAGGGGAGGAGATTGCATGGTATGCCGACGGAGAAACAATTGTGCGGAATGAGTATACTTCCTCAATAGCTTATGCATATGGTATGATACATTATTGTGATGCTTGTGATTAAATTTATTGTTGCAATGTTTGGGATCTTAGATTCGTGCTCTAGAATCGGAATTTGAATTTGAGAAAAGTCGGTTACAATGATAACCAACTTAACCCAATTTCATATCCAGACCTTGAACTTGAACACCATGCCGCCATAGCTTGTGCTAATGTTCTTAATATGATTGAATTGATGAACGGAGACATCTGAATGAAACTGAAAAGTATGGAACTACTGTAAAGATGAAATTCAGTAGCCAGATCAGCTCGAATTCACCAAGTCGAAAGCTGAAATTGTAAGATTGAGGTTAGTTTTGACTCAATCAGGCCTTGACTCAAACAAATCTGGCTCAATCAGCAACTATCAAACAACCCTAAGGGAACTAAAAGTTGTCTTCTTATTTTCTTGGGATATACCTGTTAGGTGAGATAAGATAGAGCATAGATTTGGAATCTTTCATGTTAAAAACTTAATTTATCAGCTTTTCTCAATGCCTCCACCACTAATTGTAAGAAGCTAAGCTTACTTTTGTTAAATGTATCTGAGAATTTCATGTTTTTCAATATTACTTTGTCATGTCATCCAGTTATATGCTAAAAAAGTAAAAACCTTCCTTTAAATATATATATTCAGATCAAGTTTTTGGGCCTACAACCACTACACGTCATTTGTATGATGTTGCAGCTCAACATGTTGTTAGTGGTGCTATGGAAGGCATTAATGGTATGTTATCTTTTCTCATCTCACAATGTCTTTACTCTTCACTTCATTACAATGTTATGGAGATCAATGAAGTCACCAATTCTTGCTCTTTTTAATACTAAAATAGGCTCTATTTTTTCCAAGGAGAAAGTAATTTCTTTCTGGATTTTGAACTTGTGTTTCTTTCTATACTCATTGATTGTGTTTCAAAAAGTCTCAACACTTAGAAAACTAATAAATCTTTAATGTAGGAGATAATTAGCATCTTAACAGATGAACTTTAAGAGTTTTAGAATTATAGTAGCACAAACTCTGCTTTAAATCCTTGACTATATATAAGACCTGAATCCTTATTGCAAGTGTCTTCTTAGTTTCTATCAAATCTCAGTATATCTGTCTTTCTTATATATATTGTTTGATCCATTGTAAGAACAGGAACTATATTTGCATATGGTGTGACAAGTAGTGGGAAAACTCATACTATGCATGTAAGTATCTTTTTGTATTTTTGTATTCGAATTAATATTTTATTCAAATATATTTTTATATTCCAGTGAATTTATTTTTCCTTGATAATACATACACATAAGACAGGGAAATCAGAGGTCCCCTGGAATTATTCCATTAGCAATAAAACATGCTTTCAGTATCATTCAAGAGGTATATAATTATATATGCATTGCTAAAAATCCAACTCCACTATTTTTATATTTTTATTAAAATAATAATTATTTATCCTCATGTATTTTCAGACCCCATGTCGCGAATTTCTCCTTCGCCTCTCATATTTGGAAATATACAATGAGGTGAGCTTCTGAAGTACTATCTTTTTCAGTGATTCATTTACAATTTAAAAAGGAACCCTAATCTCCATTTTTCTTTTATTAACAAATCTGAAAATTGTCTTATGTTTTTGTTTTTTTTAAGGTTGTTAATGACTTGTTGAATCCAGCTGGACAAAATCTAAGAATAAGAGAGGACACTCAAGTGAAGTTCTATAACTTCTATACCGATACCTGTTATATGATTCTCCTTTATATAAGAAGTCAAAAAAAAATTATAAATCAAAATTATTTATACAATAATTATTATTTACAGGGAACCTTTGTTGATGGTGTAAAAGAAGAAGTTGTATTATCTCCTGCCCATGCCCTTTCCATTATTGCAGCAGGAGAAGGTAATAACAAATATTTCATTAGACTTTTAGTTATTTAACTTTTTTAATCGATGAATTTTTTTTATTTTTTTTTACTTTTTTATTTTGTTGCTAATTCAGAGCAAAGACACGTTGGTTCCACAAACTTAAATCTTCACAGCAGCAGAAGTCACACAATATTTACAATGGTAATATTCTATTCCTTCCAAAAGTAATTAAAAAATATCATAATTTTATTTTACTTTTTATGTTTATGATTCTTAATTTCTTATTACTTTCTAACAGACAATCGAGAGTAGCCCATGTGGTGATAATAATGAAGATGAGGCTGTTAACTTGTCACAACTTGTATGCCCCTGAACCTTATTTTAGACATATTTATTTCCCCAGGGGTATTATCGTCATTTTACCTCGTTTTACAGAACCTCATAGATCTAGCTGGCTCCGAGAGCTCTAAAGCTGAAACTACTGGTATTCGTAGAAAAGAAGGGGCCTATATTAATAAAAGCCTCCTAACTCTTGGAACTGTAATCATTCTCATTAACTCATTACTTTATCAGTATAATCTCCAAGGGTAAAAACGGAAAAAAAGATTTGTGATAAATAATAAATTGTCACAGGTTATATCAAAACTATCAGATGGAAGGGCTGCTCATATACCATACAGAGACTCAAAGTTGACCAGACTTCTTCAGTCTTCTTTAAGTGGTCATGGAAGGGTATCTGTAAGTCTTTTATGCAACTTCCATATTTATTATTTAATCCCCATATATATTTTATTTATTTATTTATTATTTCAGCTTATTTGCACTGTTACTCCCTCTTCAAGCAATTCAGAGGAGACACACAACACATTGAAATTTGCACATCGAGCAAAACACATTGAAATTAACACATCACAAAACAAGGTTTGGGAGATTTGAATTTTATGTTGTGTAATTGGGAGTTTTGGAAGTAAAAGTTTTTTTTTTTTTTTTGCAGATTATTGATGAAAAATCCCTTATTAAGACATATCAAAATGAAATCAGATGTTTAAAGGAGGAGTTGGATGAGTTGGAGAGAGAAATTGTAACAGTTCCTCAATTGAAGCATACTGGAGCTAAAGATGCTTTGTTAAGTCAAATACAAAGTCTCACAAAATTGATTTTAGTTTCCACCAAATCTTCTCATCAATCTGATCCAGTAATCAGATATTCTTTTGGGGAAGAGGAGGTAAGTCTCTTTAACTTAGCTATTGAAAATTACGGTTTTGTCCTTGCAAAGAATTTTTTAACTTTTCTCCTCTCTAAAATGAATTTTTTTCCCTCAAGTTGTTGCTGTGTTGTGTATATCAATTGTTTGAAGAATCTTAAAAAATTATATACTAATAACTTTTTAAGAGTATAAGGGTAATATAGTCATTTTACATGGGGTTAACAGTTTAATATATGGTTTAAAATGTGTCAAGTAGTAAGAGATGAAAAGTGTTGCAAAACGTCATTTTTAGGGACCAAAATCTTTTAAGGATGAAATCTGTAATTTTCAACAGGCCACGGGGACGAAAGCTGTAATTTTATCAATATGGTAACAAACAACTTCATGTTGAAAATTCTAGTTTTCACTTTTCACCCTGTGTTTCGTTGAAAATTGCAGTTTTAGTCCCTGAAATGAAGTTTTGTAACACTTTCCGACACGTCACTCTTATCAGTTGAGTGAATAATCCAAAAAAATTAATATCGAAGTTTAACAACGATAAAACGCTTAATAATAAACGTAAGAGCAAGGGCAAAACAGTCATTTTACATGGAGTAATATGTTTACTATAGACTGTGTCAGATGGTGCGATTTACAAAAAGTGTTACAAAACTTCACTTACTTACTTTAGGGACAAAAAATTAAAAAAAAAACATTAAAAATTCAATACCGGGGATGAAATCTGTGATTTCAACAAACTACAGGGATGAAAAGTGTAATAAAGCCTAACTTGAATGGATGATCTTATAAATGGACAGCTTGTGTATCTCCCTGAAAGAAAGCGGGACTTAAGTTTAGATCATGAGAACATTGATTTGCATGTTTCTATTAATGGAGGCATAGAAACAAAAGAAGACAAAAAGATAAAGAAGCCTGGACTTCTTAAGTGGTTAAAACCACAGGTAGTCTGTTTAATTTTTTTTTTAATCGAGTTTAAAAAACCAGTGGAAGTGATAAATCTTGTTTTTTTTTTTTTTTTTTTTTTTTTTTTTTTGACTAGAAACGAGATGGTTTGACTTTGACTTTGACTAGTGGTAGTGATAAATCAAGCACACCTTCAACTCCTGCAAGTAGTCATATTCTTCCTACTGTTGAATCTAGACCTTCATACTCTTCACTCTCAGAAGCTACATCTGTTGGCTTTTTATTAGAACACAAACAAGATCTAGATATCAACAAGGAGGTAAAACTTAAAAGTAGTCTTCATTTTTATTTTTTATTTTTCTAAAAAAATAAATTTGTAATCAATCTTTATACAACTTATATCATATATTATCGTTCACTAATATAATCACTATGACAATAGGTTTAAAAAAAGGTTAATCACAACATAACACCGTTTTCTTAACAAAATTCATTTTACTTTTGCGAAATGACATCATCATTTGTGGTAAAAAAAAAAAGGCATTTTGAGAAATGGGTGGTTATTTTGTAATTAACGTTGAAAAGTATTTTGTAAGTGATGTGAAAATTGAAAATTATTGGATGTTTTCTAAAAACTTAATATGCATATACTATTTTTTAAACGATTATGTTAAAAAATATTTTTTAAAAACAAAAAAGTTTTACTATCTCCTTTGATAGGTTGAAGTCGCATATAGTGAAGTAATCGAAGAGCAACTAACCCAAAAGGTGAACTTTTACTTTTACTTTTACTTTATTATTATTATTATTGTTACTTTTAGTTTTCTTACATCTTGTATTTCCACAGAATAACGAATTAAAAGGACTTGATGAAACAATCACATCCTTGAAACAACAACTTGGTTCAGAAAAAAACACAGATACAAATGATTCACTTGAGATCGAACACCAACAACTGAAAGAAAAAATAGTCAACCTTACAGAGTCAAAGGAGAGATTAGAATCCGAAAACACAAGACTAAAAGAACAAAACTCATACGCAAAAGAATTAGCTTCAGCAGCTGCAATGGAGCTCAATATCCTATCTGAAGAAATCATAAAACTAATGAACCAAAACGAGAAACTATCAGCTGAGTTGGCAGCACACAGTAGTAACAGTAATTCTAATTCCCCAAGAAATACGACTAAGAGGAATGGACATAGAAAAAGTGTGAGTCAATTGGAGTTATTAAAGAGAGAAGTCGCAATGAGTAAAGAGAGAGAAACGGCTTATGAAGCTGTTTTGTCTGAAAAAGCTGAAAGAGAATCTGAATTGGAACAAATGGTGATGGAATCAAATCAACGTGAGGAGTATCTTGAAAATGAGTTGGCAAATATGTGGATTCTTGTGTCAAGGCTAAGAAAATCGGAAGATGTTGAAATTGATGCTTCTGAGTCGAGTAAAGAGAGTGGTTTTGAGATCTCAGAGGACATATAAAAGGATTTGTACAAAAGGGAATTTTTTTTTTTTTTTTAAACTTTTATTAGCTTAATTTGTGCTTGCAATTTGTAAATAAATAATTGAGTGAGTTAGAGTTTTCTGGTTTGGGTTTGGGTATAACTTATTTTTTCCCTTCTGAGGTGAGTTGATTGAGTTGAGTTGAGTTGAGTTGAGAGTGAGTCAAAGTTGATTGAGTGTTTGGTCTTGTACATATGTTTGGTGTGGTGAATGGAAATTGGTAATTGGTTTTTGAATAATTGTATATGGTATTCTGTTATAAATTATATAATAATTGCTAAATAACCTAAATAAGAAACATTATACTTTAGTGGATAAGCAATTTTGAGAACTAGTTAGTTTATAAATTGGCGGATTTTGTTGTGTTGCAACATATTATGATCCTAGTATAAAACGAAATTAAATATTAATGCAAAAAGAAACTTTCATACAAACATTGTGTGCCCAACATTGGTTTAAGTCTTGCCAAATGGGAATATGACTGTTAAGGTAATTAACTTTTCGGATTTTTCACATATAAGTAACTATCTTTTTTTTGTACACATCTAGGTAACAAACTTTTTGGAATTGTTCGCATATGACCATTATGACCTGCTGTAGCAGGTTACATCCAGCTACAGCAGGTCATAATGGTTATATGTGAACAGTTTCATCAAGTTCGTTACCTAGATGTGTATAAAAAAAATAGTTACCTAAATATGAACAAAACCAAAAGTAATAGTAAATTATATGAATGGTCCCTATGGTATAGGGGAATCTTTGCATTTGGTCCCTAACTTATTCTTTTTAACTCGGATGGTCTCTACTGTTTATTTTTGTTGCGCGCTTAGTCCCTGTCTTACCTAAAAAGACTATTATGCCCTTATTAATTTATTTTTTTTAAATAATTTTCTTATTTATGTTTTTTTATATGTTTAAAAAAATTAATAGACCTCACATATCTGTATCTCCTCATCGTAAATCTGAAACCACATTTGAGAAATTTAATTTGGATCCCACCGATCACCATCCCATCTCACATCCTCTTCAACCTCTATTTTTCTTCAATCTTTAGTGACATGGAAGTCTTCACCATCTTTTATTTTTATCCTTCAACTCTGGCGAACAAACACCATAACCCACAGTATCTACACTTTATTGGGTTGTGGTGTTGGTTCGCTGAAGTTGAAGGACCGAAAAAGAATAGATGGTGAAGACTTCATTATCATTAAATATGGAAAAGAAATAAAAGTTTAGGATGATGAAAGATAGGATGGTGAGGAGATACAGATATGTAAGGTCTATTAGTTTTTTTAAACATATAAAAAATACATAAATAAGAAAATTAATTTTAAAAAAATTAAATTAATAAGGACACACTAGTCTTTTTAGGTAAGACATGGACCAAACGCAACAAAACAAAATAGTAGGGACCATCCGAATTAAAAAAAAAATAAGTTAGGGACCAAACGCATAAATTCCCCCAAACCACAGGGACCATTCGTGTAATTTACTCTTACTTTTGGTTTGTTCATATTTGGGTAACTATTTTTCTTTTGTACATATCTAGGTAACGAACTTGTTGAAAGTGTTCACATGTAACCATTATGACCTACTGTAACCAGAGGTAACCTGCTACAGCAGGTCATAATGGTCATATGTGAACAGTTTCATAAAGTTTGTTACCTAGATGTATACAAAAAAAAGATAGTTACCTACATGTAAACAAACCGAAAAATTAATTACCTTAGTTAGTCTTATTCCCCTTGCTAAATATGATGTGTTTTGTATTTGCCTATTTGTTGGTTTTGCCGTTGCTGTCTAAAATCTATAACTGGCTATGTTTCAATATGGAAATTTTCAAGTTTATGTGACATTTCGATTTAGGTTTTATGTTCACCAACGAATTTACATTTTTTCAGTTATTTAAGAAACTAGTTTTTTTTAGCATATTTTAGTTTACTTAAATTCTTTCAAGTCATTATATTGAACATAATCAAAGTATATTAAATTACAAGTCGAAAGGTTGCATCATTAAATTTTAGAGATATTTATTTATAAAAATGACCAGAAAATGTGTAGAATTACCAATTTTTTTTACACTAAGGAATGAGTAACAATTTTTTTTACACTAAGGAATAAGTAATTCCGGACTTGGTGGTAATGTATAGTGTTTATTTTTTTTCTCATTTGTATTAAATATTTTTCAAAAACTCTTTCGCCCATATTTTAAACGGTCATTTCGAAATGTTTAATATAACCGATTTTTCAATCAAATTTCACATTTTAAGTCATTGTATCATACCTACTTCTTATTTGTTATGTTTCTTTGACATTTTGTTAGATTTCAGTAAAACACGAAACATTTTTTTTTTGAAATTTCAGAATTGTTCATCAGATTTCAGGCTTGTTCTTAAAATCTCATAATAATTTTTGTTTTTTTTGGAATGTTAGTCTGAAGTGTACTTTTCGTCTTAAAAACAATTTTAATCCAAAATGTCTGAAAACCGGATAAAGATATCATTTTTCTACTACACAAAAAACTATTTAATTACATTGAAAATTTTAGTTAAATACTACATTGAACAATAGTTAAACAACAAATAAAGGACAATTTGGTAGTCTAAGACTAAACCAGATCTGATTGAATCAATGCTTGATTCATTCAACATGTGTTATGTTTAGGATCCAGAGGTTTCGAATTATGGTATCAAATGGTCTAAATAACCGAGTCAGACCTAGGGCGTGTTTGGTAAAATTAGTTGGTAGCGGGTAGCTTGTAACGGATAGCATTTTGTTAAACGCTACATGAAGTAACATTCAGATTTGGAGTTTGTTTAAACTAAACGCTAGAAACTTGTAGTGCCGAACAAAACTTTCTATTCAAAACGGAACATTTTGTCAAACGCTAGAAACTACAAACTCTCAAATGCTCTGTGCCGAACACGCCCCTAACCTTTTATCATGCTCTGGAAAAAGCATACAAACAACCCATGAGTGTTTTAAATTAATTAGATATAATCATAGTTAATTTAACATTAAATTGAAAAATTAAACATAATTGTATTCATCTATTGAAATCATTGAAATATCAAATAAACTAAAAATATAGACTAAACTGCACAAATGGTCCCTGTGGTATGTCGAAAATTGCCACTTTGGTCCAAAAAAGTTTGGACTAGCACCAGAGGTCCAAAGTTTTCATTTTGTTGCTTGTTTGGTCCAATTTATTTTAAACTTTTTTAAAATACCAATTTTGCCCTTTGTATTTTCTTTTTCTATTTATTTGTATTACAATAATTAAAAAAGAAAAGAAAAAAACTCACCTGCATCACTACCCTACCCCTCCCTGCACTTCCCCTTCTCTTCTCTCTCTCTCTCTCTCTCCCTCTCTCTCTCTCTCTCTGTGAATTTTCACAAAACGAAACTAACGTCACCACCAACTTTCGGCGAATGGGGGTTCCGACCACCATAGATTATTCCCGATCGGAGTAACACAACCTCTCCATTTCTTTATCTCTCTCAACACCATTATAACTTGATGAAGATAGTAATCCAAAGAACAGATGGTTTGGTCGGAGAAAGAATTTAGTTAGAAACAGAGGTTGGGACATACTAAAGAAGACGAAGGGCAGCGAAGACGTGAAAACCCAGATCGAAGTCGAAGGTGGCTTCATCCTTCAGTAGTTCTGATTTGAAAACCTAGATACACATCATCGTCTTCACACATCGATGGCGCCTTCATCTGGAAACTCGAGCCACAAACTCCGCCTTCGTTTCTCTCTCTTCTTCAGTGAGTCTCGTCCTTATCATATCCTTCTTCTTCTTCTTCGGCGAAAACCATCTATCGTCGACGTCTTTCTTCGTCGAAAACCCTAATCTAGATGAGATAAGGTAGAGGTGCTAGGGTTTTAGAAATTATTGATGGTTTTTATCAAAAATTGGGTTTACAGAGATGGTTTCCCGACAGAGAAGAGGAACTAAGCAGGTGAAAAGATGGTTATCGGTGGTAGTAATCGATTATGGTTTGTTGTATGTAATGTCGGCTTTCAGATTTGCCAGAGGTTGGTGGTGGTGGAGACGATAGGGGTTGAAGGTGGTGGTGACTGACGGCGACGACGGTGGTGTAGTCGGTGATGAAGGGTTCGTGAGAATTACAAAGAACAAACGAAAATGGAAGAATAGAGAGGGAGAGAGAGAGAGAGAGAGAGAGAGAGAGAGAAGAGAAAGAGATATTTATTTTTATTTTTATTTTATTTTTTTAATCTAAAAACTATAAAAGCAAATAAGAAAAAGGGAAAATCATATTAATAGGGGCAAATTCGTCATTTTATAAAAAATCAGAACATACTGGACCAAAAACGCAACAAAATGAAAGTTTTGGATCACTGGTGCTAGTCCAAACTTTTTTGGACCAAAGTGGCAATTTTCGACATACCACAGGGACCATTTGTGCAGTTTAGTCAAAAATATATATAAAGTTTATCTTTTAGATAATTGAAAATATCCAACCAGATAGTTTTTTTAATTACTCAACAATAATAATAGTTATAATAAAAATTAAATTGAAAATTATATTTAACTAAAACTTACATAAAATAAAAAAATTATGTCACCGTGAAAATAACAATTGGTATTAAAAAACATTATATAGGTTCATTTGAGACCACCTATATTTTGTGAGACCGTGAGACGCATTTTTTTATTTTTTTTTATTTTTTTTTATTTTTTTTTATTTTTTTTAGTTAATTCATGTTCCGAAAATAATATTTAAAAAAAGAATTTTTTGATTTTTCCATTTATTTTGCATTTTAAAATTATTTTTAGAATATGTACAGTGTAATATTCTATTTAGAATATTTCACGTATTTTTAAAAAAAATATATAATTTTTTTTATTTTTTTTAGTTAATTCAAGTTCCGAAAATAATATTTAAAAAAAGAATTTTTAGATTTTTCCATTTATTTTGCATTTTAAAATTATTTTTTAGAATATATCAGTGTAATATTCTATTTAGAATATTTCACGTATTTTAAAAAAAAACGGAATTTTTTTAATTTTTTTTTATATTTTTTTATATTTTTTTTATTTAATTCAAGTTCCGAAAATAATATTTAAAAAAAGA